GTCCAGTGACATAACCATTATACCATCTCCTAGTCTCCACAATCTCAAATATTAAGCACATAATTTAACTGTTTAATATATATGTGTGTGTGTGTGTATATATATATATATGTATGTATTTATACCTTTTTCTTTACATATATACAATATATAACATTCTTTTTTTTTTTTAAAAAGAGATTTTTGCTATAGGGCACATGCACTCACCAGAGAGACAGAGAAAGACAGAGGGACAGAAATCAAGAAATCACCCCTCAGTGAAGATGGAAATGCCACAATCCCTTCTTCATTATCCTCTCGAGATTTGGGGCATGCACACACAAGTACCCAGCTTAAGTTTCAAGCCTCTGGGTCTGGGACTCAAACCATGGTCTGGCGTGTGGGAGTCCAGTGATATAACCATTATGCCATCTGCTGGTCCCAGTATTCCTTTCTTTTTTTAAAGAATGATTTACTTTATTTTATTTATCAGTTGTTGATTCGACCAGAGAGGGAGAGAGACAGAAAGGGAAAGTGAGAAAGCAAGCCACTAGGTCCAGGACTCAAAGTGTAGTCGGCTATGTTGGAGTCCAGAACTCCAATCACCCTGCCACCTGCTAGTCCCCATAATGTTTTCAATTTAAAAATGGGATCCTCATATACAGTTTGGCAGTTTAATAGTATATTTTCTTAAGAATTAGTTGTTTAGGGGACCAGCAGATGGCAGGGTGGTTAAGGTGCTGGGCACTCCCACACAGCCAACCACAGTTCGAGTCCCAGACCTGGTGGCTTGCTTTCTCTTTCTCTCTCGCCAAATTAAAAAAAAAAAAAAAGTGAATGAATAAATTAAATAAGAAATTTTTAAAAACAAGAATTAGTTATTTAGGGGCCAGCAGATGGAATAAGGGTTACATCGCTGGACTCCAATGTAATTGACAACAAGACTTGTGCATGCGTGCGTGCGCAAGATCCCGAGAGTAGGATGAAGAAGCGATTGCAGCATGGCCGTTCCTCCGGGGAGTGATTTCTCGCTTTCTGTCTCCCTGTCTCTCTGGCAAGCACATGTACCCTATAGCAAAAATCTCTCTCAAAAAAAATGAAAAAGAATCAGATATTTAATTTTACTTATTATTTTTATCATTTTAAAATTTACCATAGGGCACATGTGCTCACCAGAGAGAGAGAAAGGAAGGAAGCAAGCCGTCAGGTCCAGGTCTCAAACCACAGTCAGCCACGTGGGAGGCCAGTGCCTCTACCAGCATGCCACCTGCTGGCCCTAAATAGTTATTCTTAAATAGTACATTTTTTCAAAAATATGTCGTCAATAATAGGCAGTTTTAGACAAAGTGAAAGAAAGAATGAAAAGAAAGGAAAAGAAAACAGTAGGCAGTTGTAAGTGTCTAGTCACTTGTTTTCGTCTGAGTATGTTTCCAGCCTGCTCGTGTGTGGTTCCCTCTCATTCTCAGGTGTGCGAGGAAGCGCGGTGTCCCAACATCGGCGAGTGCTGGGGAGGTGGAGAGTACGCCACGGCCACCGCCACGATCATGGTAAGGTTGGCCTAGCCGCTGAGCTGTAGCTAAAAGCCTGAAGGGAACATTCTGTGTCTGCTCGTTAAAAATGTGCTTCAGGGACCAGCAGTTGGCGTAATGGCTATGTCGCTGGACTGCAGTTCGAGTCCTGGACCCGGTGGCTTAAACTCACGCCGGGCGCTTGTGCATGCGTGCCCAAGATCCCAAGAGGAGAATGGAGGAGAAGGGATTGCAGCGTGACCATCCCCCCAGGGGGTGATTTCTCCCTTTCTGTCTCTATGTCTCTCTCTGCATGTCTGGTGAATGCACACACCCCATAGCAGAAACCGCTCCAAAAAAAAAAAATTATTTTATTTAACTTTATATTTTTTATTTTAATTTGACCAGAGAGGGACAGAGTGAGAGAGAGAGAGAGAGAGAGAGAGAGGAGAGGGAAAGTGAGAAAAGCCTCCAGGTCCGGGACTTGAACGGTGTCCAGCACCGTGGGAATCCAGCACCCTTAACCACTGTGCCATCCGATGGCCCCTCAATTCTTTCTTGAATGTTCTTTTTTTTAGTTTCTATTTCGGGAATCCAGCACCCTTAACCACTGTGCCACCAGTGGCCCCTCAATTCTTTCTTGAGTGCTCTTTTTTTCTTTAGTTTATTTTATGGGGTCGGGTAGAGACAGAGACACACACGAACAGGGATAGGTACCTTTGCCAAAGTCTCGTTACAGCACAGTCATACTGCAGCCTTCCAGCCATGGCCAGGGTCACTGGCACACCCAGCGTGCCCAGGCTGACCCTGGTCCAGACCACAGTCTTCGACTCAGCTTCCCACATTGCAAAAAGGCACTGTGACTAATGCCTGCCCCACCGGCTGGGTCTCATTTCTCTGTGTGATCGATTTTATTTACTTATTTTAAAAAATAGTTCTTTTATGTTTTAAATGGATTTAATTTTGCTCTGGGGCATTTACACTCACTGGAAAGAGACAGAGAAGGGGAGAGAGAGAAAGTGAGAAAGCACCGAGTCCAGGACTTGAACCGCACAGTTGGCCATGTGGGATCCAGCTGCCTCGCCCACCCTGCCACCTGGCTGGCCCTCTGTCTGACTTTAATTGTAACGTCGTCTCTCTTCCAGTTGATGGGTGACACGTGTACGAGAGGTTGCAGGTTTTGCTCTGTTAAGACTGTGAGAAACTCCCCTCCGCTGGACGCCAGCGAGCCCTACAATACTGCAAAGGCGATTGCGGAGTGGGGTCTGGACTACGTCGTCCTGACATCTGTGGATCGAGACGGTGAGTATCCTCACGGTCTCCCGGGACCGGCCGTCCTCGGCTGGGACAGCACCTCGAGCAGTGGATTCTTTCATCCCTAGATATCCCTGACGGGGGTGCCGAACACATCGCCAAGACCGTCTCATACTTGAAGGACAGGTACTCGTTTTTTATTGGGTTGTGGAATTGAAAGTATTTTTTGGGTCCACATAAATTCAGTTTATCTAAGATCTTTACATAAAGCAGCGTGGAGAGGGTTCCTCCCTTTCTGAAAAACCGCTAGAAGCTAAGTGGCCTTTTCTCCGGAAAAAACATGTTTATATATACAGATACGTATTTGCAGAAAATTTTAGGGATTCAACTAGCATGAAATTACCCCTGGACCATTAATCCATAGAACCCCTCTTTCAAATTTGAGTGTTAGGGGGCTGGCAGGTGGTACAGTGGTTAAGGTGCTAGACTCCCACTTGGCCAACAATGGTTCGAGTTCCGAACCTGGTGGCTTGCTTTCTCACCTTCCCTTTCTCTCTGTCTCTCTGTGGTCAAATTTTAAAATAATAATAATAACAACAACAACAACAACTGAAATAAATAATTCTCTAAAAAAATTTGAGCGTTAGTCTAAACTTGGAGCAATTTTCTTAAAAATCTATAAAACTAGTCTTCTTAATACTGATTTTGAATAAAGTGTTAAGATGAGATAGTATCCAACATTCTAAAGATGTACAACAGAATTACAATAAAGTTTGTGGAAAATGAAATTGACATACAAATTTATTTTGGTACAGAAGACATTTGAAATCCATGCCCAGTTTTGTCATAATACGCATTTTCTGTAAACTTTTTGAGTGTGTTTTTTTTTTTTTTTTTTTTTGCTATAGGGCTATAGGGCGAATGCACTTGACAGAAAGACAGAGAGACAGAAAACGAGAAATCACCTCCCAGGAGGGATGGCCATGCCACAGTCTCCTCTCCTCCATTCTCCTCTGGGGATCTTGGGCATGCACGCACAAGTGCCCAGCGTAAGTTTAAGCTGCCAGATTCAGAACTTGAACCACGGCCGACTACATGGGAATTCAGCAACATAGCCATTATGCCAACTGCTGGTCCCCTCAATTCACTTTTCAAATAGTAAAAAAAGTTATATTTAATGATCTAATCTTTTATATTTTAATTATTTTTTAAAATTTTATTTATTTAAATTTGACCAGAGAGAGAGAGACAGAGATAGATAGAGAGGGAAAGTAAGAAAGTGAGCCACCAGGTCCAGGACTGGAACTGAGCAATCCGTCATGAGGGAATCCAGTGCCTTAACCACCACGCCACCTACTGGCCCTATATTTTAATTATTTTTAAACAATTTTTTTAAAACAATTTCATTTTTTTTTAAAATTAATCAAATTAGGTTTAAAAGTTTATATAATCTCAATTTTTATTTTGATTGTTGTTTGTAAGAAGATGTGCTTTATCCACTGTGTACATATTATTTGATATACTGTTTTTTTTCATGCAGTCGTTCATATGTGAACATGTGTGTGTGTGTGTGTGTGTGTGTGTATGTCTGTGTGCTGTTCTTGACAGAATTCTAAAGAATACTGTATTGGGGCTGGCAGGTGGTGTGGATAAGGCACTGGACTCCCACATGGCCGACCATGGTCTGAGTTCCAGACCCGGCAGCTTGCTTTCTCACTTTCTCTCTCTCTCTTATCTCTCCCTCCCTCTCCCTTTCTGGTCAAATTAAAATAAATACAGTTAAATAATTCTTTGAAAAAAAGAGAATACTATATTAAACTGATACTGAGAATTGATCATTTCTATTGTGAAGAGCCATTTGATATGTATCTTTTTCTCCCTAGGAATCCAGAAATTCTCGTGGAATGTCTCACCCCTGATTTCCGAGGAGATCTTAAAGCAATAGAAAAAGTCGCTCTTTCAGGATTAGACGTGTATGCGCATAACATCGAAACTGTTCCAGAGTTGCAGAGGTGATCGCACATCCAGAGTAAAGCTGGGAACTGGGGGTGGGTGGGATCAGAATATGCCGTATATTCCCCCCCTTTCCAGGGTGAACTTTCAATGGAATTTTTTTTTTTTTT